GCACACACACACACACACACACACACACACACACACACACGCACACGCGCACACACACGCACACACACACACGCACACACACACACACACACGCTCACAAACACACACTCACACACACACACACACGCACACACGCACGCACCCACACACACACACACACGCACGAACACACACACACGCTCACACACACACACGCTCACACACACACGCACACACACACACACGCACATACACACGCTCACAAACACACACACACACACACGCACACACACACACGCACACACACACACACGCACACGCACGCACGCACCCACCCACACACACACACACACACACACACACACACACACACACACAAGCACGCACGAACACACACACACGCTCACACACACACACACACGCTCACACACACACGCACACACACACACACGCACACACACACACGCTCACAAACACACACACTCACACACACACACACACACACACGCACACGCACGCACGCACCCACCCACACACACACACACACACACACACATACACACAAGCACGCACGCACACACACACAGGCTCACACACATACACACACACACACACACACACACACACATACCCACACAGAAACACAGACACATGCACGTGTGCACACACACACACACACATACACATTCACATGCACACACACACACACACACACATGCATGCGCACATAAACACACACACACACACATGCATGCGCACATAAACACACACACAAACACACACATGCATGCACACACACACACACACACACACACTCACACAAACACACACACATGCGTGCACACATAAACACACATGCACACACACACATACACACACACACACACACACACACACACACACACACGCACGTGCGCACATAAACACACATGCACACACATGCACAACCACACACACACACACACGGACGCACACACAGACACGCACGGACGCACGTGCGCACATAAACACCCATGCACACACACACACATGTGTGCGCACATAAACACACATGCACACACACACACGCACGGACGCACGTGCGCACATAAACACACACACACACACTCGGTTTTTGGTGTAAAATCGGAGTATTCACAGAAATTCTGGCTTTCTTTTAGCCTGACAGGCTGATTTAAAGGTGCATCGAGTCTTTTGTGCTGCATCTTAAATGTTTTTAAATCCAATGAGACAAAAACAAAGAATTGGACGGCAAAGAAAAAGACTAAGATGACAAAATGAACAGAAATGAGCAATAAATAAACAAACTGTAGAAACAGCAATGTTTAGAGTAAGATGTAACGGTGATGAACGGAGAGCTTGTCCCACACACACAGCAGATTAGGACATGGTGCCCGCTGTCCTGTTTTGACCTCTAACTTGGACTAATCGCTCTTTTCGCTGGAAGCTCCAGCCCTGATAATTACTCTGAGAAACCCAGATCAAATGTAAACGCTTCCAACAGGCAAGCTTTCCCATGGACCCGAGCAGCACCGCACATCCCTCCGGACCTCCTCTCTTCCCTCCCATCATCCCATCCCACACGCTCTCAGACGCGTAGCCTCAGAGCTTCCTTCCTTTTCCTCCCATCCCTCAGTAACGAGCGTGATTATCAATCCAAACAATAGTTAGAATAATTGCAGCATGAAAGCGAAGCCATCTTCCAGGAACTTCCTGTCTGGGAATGAGTGACACGCCAGCAGCTTCCTGCTTCCTCATGGAGTGAGTGGGAGTACAGGAAAGGGCGGGGCTTTAATCGCCCCGGCTGCAGGTCCTTAATGGGCTAACGAGGTTTGGTAATGTACCGTAACATGATGACATGGAGTCGTTTCAGAATTAGCGTGTGAATCAGACTTTATTAGTCGAGTGTTTTCATCAGAATTTGACTGGAGTGTGAAGTTCATCGTCCTCTTGTTTGGTGACGATCTCAGATTTAAGGGGAAAACTTAGATTTTGGTTTTACAGACGTTGAAGGAAACTCGGCTCTGATTCTATTTTTAATCTGTTCTTTTCTGCTGACATAGTTTTACAGTGAAGAGTCGGCTGCTCTGGCCTGACCAGTTTGGCTGTTTTCTCACAGCATACCCCCCCAACCCCCCCACCCCCACCGCCCTTCCACCAACTCACCTGGAACCACAGGTATGCTGGCGAAGCGGCTAAAGTGTACCCGGCTCATCATCAGCTATTATTACCCTGAGAACCAAAACAACGGAGCGCCTCGTCGTCACGCATGCAGAGACTTTCTCACACTTTCCGACATGTTGACAGTCCAAACAGAGCCGGGCCGGAGCTGCTGAGGTTTTTTTTTTTTCATGTCTAAAGGAAAATCAGTTGGCTGTGGGGTTCGGGCCCGCAGCTCTCCCTCGCTGCACCAGCGTGCGCCGACCTTCTCAGAAGTTCAGGTCAGAGCGCTCGATGTGATCCAGGCTTATTCGAGGTGCCTCCACGGCTTAAAGGATTCAAACGTCTGACAGTTGCCCGTAATGTCACAGCGAAGCCACGCCACGAGAGTCGGCATCCAGGAAGTGGGAGGAGTGTAAGACGATTTGAATAAAGGAATGAAGGTGGAAATAAAATGTGCTGAAAGTTGCTAAAGAGTCAGTTTGTGACGCGGGTTTGGAACATTTCGTTCTGGCCTCTAAACATCCGACAAAACCTTCAGCTCCAGACGCGTTTTTCCCACGTCCAACTCAGAGCCGGGACGACTTTTAGCTGTTTATGAGTCCCAGCTGTAGTTAGTCTCGGGGATGAGAGCAGGAAACGAAGAGAAGAACATCATTTTAAAGAAAAGAGAGAAATGTATCAGAAAAATAAAGGCCGAACTGAGCTAAAGTTCAACAGGCTAAAGGTCAAAGGTGACAGATCATCTGCTGCTGTGGCCCCCAGACTCTGGACCTCTCTCCCCCTGAGCCTGAGATCAGTGGACTCAGTGGTCTCCTTTAAAAAGCAGCTGAAGACTCACTTGTTCAAGCTGGCTTCTGTATGACCTTCTTCACCTCTCTCTTTATTCTGCTCTCCCCACCTATTCCACCTTCCTCAGGATCCACTGATTTCCCTCTGTCCTGTTCACTCTCTCTCTTTCTTTACATTTTTTTAATCACAATTGTCTATTTTTGCTCATTTTAAATATATTTTTAAACATTTTCTAAATGCTTTTGTATATTTTTACATTTTTTTGTTTTTGTGAAGCTCCTCGTGATTTTTATCTGGAGAGGTGCTATAGAAATGATATTTTCTTCTTCTTCTTCTTCTTCTTCTTCTACTAAAGCGTAAAAAACACGCAAAAGCAAACCGTTAAACAACTAACCAGTACATAAATAAAGGAATGAATGAATAAATAAATGTGTAAACAAACAGAAATATTTGTAAATAAAGGTATTAAATTGTACTTTTAAATAGTTATTTGCATATGGATCATCTACCTGCTTATCCATGCAGGGTCATGGGGGGCTGGTGCTCTCCAGCGGGCGGGGTCCACCCTGAACAGGATGCCAGTCCACCACACACACACACACACACACACACACACACACACACACACACACACACACACACACACAGCCGGAACACCCGGAGAGAACCCGGGACCTGCTGCATGGCAACAGCGCTAACCACTGCACCACTATGCTAAGACATGATGATCTTATCTGTGCAAACTCAAGAAATGCTTGGAGCCGGTTAAAGTTTGCTTCCAGACATAAGTTAGAATAAAATATTAGAACATTTTAATTTTATTTAAAGAAAAAATGAGTTTGAGGACTGAGAACCTACATGGACTTTACTGATCCCACAGTTACAGAATTAAGTATTAGGTTTGAATTTAGAGTTAGTCAAAGTGTTTTTTAAAGATTTTGCTGCTTTTTTGGAATAGAAAAAGTTTGACAGTGAAGAAAATTTGCTTTTGATCATCAGCTAAAATTTTACCTAAAAATCCCTGAAAGTGGTCATCAATACTTTTGTTGTTTAGTTTTCATTTTAGAACAACAAAAACTCAAACCAAAGCCTTTCCTCAACCGAGACAAAAAGAAACGTGTCTAACATTTAAACTTTTTGGCGGGGCGGCGTTAGGCCCGGCTACTTGCAATAATACCTAGCTGCGGACATTGCTCAGGAAAAACACGCTCAGGAAAAACACGCCCCCCACCCACCCCCCCACACACACACACACACAAAACACGCCCCCGCCCCCCTGTTGAGCTACCCCCGAGCTCAACAACGGCGAACAACACAATTGAAAGACAATAAATAAAGAAATAGTATTAATGTAATTAGACAGAACTCCAGGTTTAAATATGAATGTATGGATTTTTTTTGGCCATCCCCAGTGAGATTATTTTTGTTTCTTGCATACACACTTTATGGCCATCCCCAGTGAGATTATAAAACACAGATACCACCAACAAATAATCAGTAGCCGTACAATAATCAGTTGCCGGTAGGCACAACATACCTATGCTTACTGAAGTTAGCAGGTGAGTAATGTACCGTATGTGCAAGTGTTTATTTTAAATGCAATAAAATTAAATATCAGATAAAGTAATTAGTGGAAATCGTTTTAATTAACCCCTTAAGCCCACTAGCCTCCACTTTTGGGAGCACGCCTCCTACAGCAACATTTAACTTTCAACCATTTGTTATTACAGGCACTAACAGTGGGTCTAAGTTCATACGAGTGAGTAGTTAATATTTATGTTACTATTTATGATTTTTTTATTGCTTCTTTACAGTGAAAAGCTGCTGATGTGTAATTTTTGGGCATATTTACATGTGTATATATTAATTTCATATATTCTGTTAACAGGAGTAATTGCTGGCCCTTTGACACAAAATGTATTGATTTAGAAATTACTAAAATATTTTGCATTAAGTATACAATTCACAAGACTAGTAAACTCATATTGACCATACACTAATCTGGAAAGAATATACTGTAAACACAAAAGCAGAAAAGTTTGGCTTTAGAAAAAAAGTTCAGACAAATGAACCATCCAGCAACAGCTTTTATTGGCCTACAAAAACCTTCGAAAAATAAAAAATAAAAATGTCCACACAATGACATGAGTCCAGAGCTTTTCTGAATTTCTCAGAGTATGAGCAGTTCCATGGCATAGGACATCAGCTGCCTCTCACTAATGAGACAAAGATAAATAGCAATTAGTAAAAATGACATTTACACCTAGAGGCTGTCATAAACAATGTGAAAACAATACCTATAGACATTAGCACTGTTCTTGTGTTTGTAGAATACCTCCAGTCACACTGCTGTACATTTCTGTGGCTTTGTCTGGTCAACATTCATGGACAGCTGAAAGTGCATGGATGGTTGCCTGAGTAATGAGGTGAACAAAAGGCCATCTTTCATGTAGACATTAGTCTGTCATGTTGCAGGTAACAAGATATTAACCATGAGTTATAGACTGACAACAGTAAAGGCAAAAAATATTTTCATGTGATACAAAAAATTTTTCAGAATGCTGACCACGTTGTGTTGGTCCATGCCGTCATTGTTCTTAATCACGACACACAAAAAACATGACTTCATGCACAGCAGTTACAATTAATTTTATTTTGTTGTCATGCAATAATCTTCACTCATATTCACCTGTTCTCTGGGTGGAAAGCTGTAGGGAGTGTTAAAATACACCTCTGCTGATGTCATTTCCTACTGAGTTACAACCAATCAGCTACTCCAGAGCAGGTACTCAGAAGTGTCCTGAAAACGGCCGTTTGACATGTCGGGAGGTTCCTGTAAATCTATCCTCAAGTTCTTGTAGTGGAAACACGCCTATTGATACGGTTCACATGCCATCAATTTCTTATTTTTTTTTATCTCTTACAAAATCATAGCTGTGTATAGCTTTTTAAGTTTTACATTGTTGTTGTTGTTGTTTTTTTTTTGGGGTTACTCAGAGATGTTGCACAGCAGACAGCTGTGGGAACCTGGGTGGAGAAAACTGCTCTGGATTTGGAGGTATTGCCTGCAGTATCAAAATTAAACTGAAATGTAATTATCGGCTATTTGTTGAATTTAACTGTCATACAGGGTGTTCCTAAGCAGACACATGGCAATGATTGTGGTGTCTTCATGATAATGGTGAATGACGTAATGCCGTATACAATAACGTGACACACGATTTTTTGTATTCTTTTGTTGGATATCTTATTTATAATTGCATCTTTAAGCCAAGAAATGTTTCTATATGACGTTAATTGAGTTCCAGGTACAGAAGCTGGAGCCACTGATTGGATAACATGTAGTATTTTGCATGGCTTCAATTGAAGAACTATGTTAGGTTCATGTAAAGCTACATTACACAATTGAATTACTTGAAATCAACACAGTAACAAAACAAAACCACAACAAAAACAGCATTACATAAAGTTAATAAATGGATTGTGGACAGTGCTAATTCTATCCATGCAGTTTATCATGTCTTCTCTAATATACAGTTTATTGTAATGATCTGCACTACATATTTTAGTGTAAATGTGTGCCCACACAACAGCTGAGAGGACTGGGACATCCTATCTCCTGGTCAAGTTCCCCATCCCAGGAACTACCCTGGAGTTCTGCTAATGGAAACATGCCTAATATCTGTAATCCACAGAACAGAGAACATGTCCAAGAACGGGACCATGCAAATTGGTAAATATTCATAATTCCCTAACGTTCAAAAAGGACATTGTCTTTCTGTCCCCCTCCCCTTTTCATTGCATTTAATATTTGTCTATTTTCTTCACTTTCAGCTATTTGAAGCAGATCTCATCTGACCCTATAACAAATGTGCAGAGCAAAGTACATTTATTATCACATTGCCCCCTGATTGAACTTATTTTAGGAAATTTTTGTAAACATTGGCAGGTCAGGATAACGTGACCTCCAGCACACACAACACTGACAACCTCAACAGATTCCTGTAGGCCTGACTGGAGAAACCATCTGCTCTTCTGAAATAATGGGAATCCAGAAATGAAATTTCTTTCTGGAGTGGCCTCATTACCTACAGAAAATAGAACAGATGTACAATTTGCCAAAAACCACAGGAAACTCACAAATGACTTTAAGGTTAAAACACAGACATCATCTACAACATATGTCCTAACATGTTATGTTGATATTGTATGCCACTCACAAAATTGTTCTGTAAATGGTATAATGTTCTTACGCTCAGCAGAAAATGCCCTCGAATCCACAGTGGGATGATGATGGCATCTTTCTGGTCAGCATCTTTCTGTAAAAAAAATAAAATAAATAAAAACCAAACAAGGCGCTGTACACTAAAAATGTTAGTTAAGTAAACCGGCGTTATACAATCATGTCGAACACAGATAAAAGATACAAAGGAAATACAACAAAATTCCCAAAAGCTAACAGCTAAAAATCAATAAGACACAGGGAGAATAAAAAAATTAGAAAAACATTTTAAAAAGAACCTCAATAGTACGGAAGTTGATATTGTAAAGTCAATTTTTAAACAGTGCAGATGTAAGTGAGGTTCATAATTATGTGTAAGCTAGGTTGTAGTGAGTTTTCAGGCGTGATTTAAAAATGCTAGCTGTTGGTGCTTGCCTCACTAGCAGTGGTAATGCGTTCCACAGCTTCGGTGCACAGAGAAAGCCCTTTCTCCACGGCTTTTTAAACGTGCATTCGGAACAGCTAGGAGGAGCTTAATAATAAAAAAATCGTGAGTTTGCTGCTTATTAGATGAGGAGTCATAAACGGTCAAATAAACAGCCTATTGTTACGTTTATTTTGGCCAAAAGGCTTGCGTGTAGCCCATTAAAAATTATATTAAGAAATTTGCGTCCATGACGTCTTCCCCCACTGCCAATAATGCTTAATTTTATATAAAAGTGTTTCAGAGAAAAATTACGATTGCGCTATCTATCAAACTATGTCTTAAACGTTCAAATTTCTAGTACAAAATCTTCGCAAGTTGTAAAAATATAAATCTGTCGCAACACGCATGCGAGTTCTCGTCTTCGTACATGCACGCGTGTTTTGTACATAGGGGCGTGTTTGGCCTGGGCGTGTTTTTCCTGGGCAATGTCCGCAGCTAGACCTTACTCGCTACTTGGGCTGAAGCCCCGGATGTTTCATCATAAGCCCCGGATCTAAATCGCGGAAGTAACATGCAGTACCAAAGTCCAACAGAGAGGGAGCAGCTGGCAGTAGTTTGTATACAGCCTGCCTGAGCCTCCACCACTGAAGAAGAAGCCCTTCAGCAGCCGGCTTCTTCTACACTCTCTGCCTGAAACGCATGAGTGAAGATGGACATAAGGACGTTTTTTAGACCAAAAGTACCGCGACAGAACCCCAGCTTTGATGAGACTGGTGCTGACTCAGGTTTGTGAGTCTTATTTGAAAATATTTGTTGTGCTGCTGGTTTGCCTAAAGTTAGCTTACTATCAGGTAAAGTTGATGGAGAAAGAAAGGGAATATTTACTATCATCTCACACTAAACACTAACAGGAACAATACTCTGGCCTGAAAATGCTTAATGTGTAGCTTCAGATTAAAAATTATGTGGTACAAGACATATATATATATATATATATATATGATGTTGACTAGTGTGTGCCACCTGTGTGCGCGCTCGTGTGTGTGTGTGTGTGTGTGTGTGTGTGTGTGTGTGTGTGTGTGTGTGTGTGTGTGTGTGTGTGAGTGTGTGTGTGTGTGTTAAGCCCTGGATCTTCTTCAGTCCTAAGGCCTAGTCCACTCGTAGCCGGGTTTTTTAAAAAACGAATATCCGCCCCTCCAAAAACTTGCATCCACACCACCTCGTTTAAAAACAAACTCTGTCCACACGTACCCAGATAAATACGTTGTTAAGGACATGCCAGACCTGTAGGCGGCAGCACTTCCCCCGTTCTTAACCTCGTCCTTCGTCTGTGGTCTTCCGCAAGGAGCAGTAATTCCTCTTGCAAAAACAAACAAGCAAAAAGCGCTTGGACCATTGATAAAGCGAGCGCAGCTCTGAGGGCATCCATGCTGTTGGCTAGTGTAAACACAGGTCGCACACGTGATGTCAGCATGTTTTTGTCGCGGAAAGTGACGTTGCGGACCTTAAAACTCCGGTTTTGTCCGTCCACACGCAGACACCCAAAACGGAGAAAACGCAGATCTTCACTTTGGCCGGAGTTTTTAAAAAGATCCGTTTTCGTGTGAAAAAACTCCGTTTTCGTGTGGATGACAGGCCAAAACGTAGAAGAATATCTACGTTTAGGCAGATCCCCGGCTACGTGTGGACAGGGCCTAAATCCGCCCCTGCTCTTTGGTGAAACTTTGGATAAAATTGGTTTAATTCGTTTTGACGACAACATTTTTCGGAAATGCTCCGGCAGGTGGCACCTTTACGTCTGCAGACGCTTTTGCACGTCTGTTTCTCCTCGGAGGCAGATTTCCTCATGATGACAACATCGCCAAAAGCTCCTACCACTTTTAAAACAGCCCGTCTGCTCCGTGGCTCGTGAGTGAGGAGCGCGGCGTATCGCCTCACATTACAGACTAATCTTGTTCTGGTCGCTGTTTCTCCATACGATCTGGGCAGAGATAGCATTAGAGTGATACTGCATTGTGCTACTGAAACACTACCCCCCCCCACCCCCCACCCACCCAGCTGCAGCATGTCACACGGTCAGACCCCTCCGCCTGTCATCCTCCCACGTGCCTCAGTGGAGATGCGGTGTGCAGCTTGTGAGTCCCGGCCACCTGCAGGAGTTTGCACAACACTCGGCTCGAGTGCAGGTCTTCAAAGAGGGAGAAGCTCGTATTTAAGTAGATTATTTTATTGTGTTTACATTATTTTTCCCAGAATCTGCAGCTGTTTGCCCTTTGCTTAGTGAGACAGACAGGTACACAGCAGCTCGTGCCAAAGCACACACCGGGGTTGGCAGTGGTGTGTGAGAACAGCCATTTTTTTCAAGACCTAATCCTATACACTCATTCACTTGGTGTACTTGTACGGGGATGCTTGATTGCCAGCACTACAATAAACCTGTTGTGCTGCTGTGATCAGAGCGGAAAGTCGTGAAAAGGTCACTGTGTAAACATTCCTGTTCTTGAGAGAGGTTGAAGACTCCAGGATCTGTGCTCTCCCATCTTTCTGGATGCTGTTAAACGCACCACATTAGTTAGGTTATCACCTTATGATTAGCTGGTTTAAATGGTCACGGAGAGGTATCCCAACCAGGAACAGCAGAAATCCACAGGAGGAGAAGGATCTCATTGGAGCTTGTTGATCATTTCTGGTGATAACGGGGAAGTGGTGTATTTATGAAAACAGCTGGTGGGTCAGAACGTTTCAGATTCTCAAATGTGACGTAAAAGTCGCTCATCCAATCTACGTCAGGTTCAAACACAAAACCAAACGGCGCTTTTATTCTGTTGCACATTAAAGATAACTTCCTGGACGTCCTCTGTTCAGAGAAATAACGTTTCCTTTTCTTATCCCCTTCATGTATTTTCCCCTATTTTTAATCAATCAATCAATCAATCAAATTTTCTTTATAGAGCACTTTTCATGCAAAGCAAGCAACACAAAGTGTTTAACTCATTCCCTGCCAGCGTTTCTCAGCGTTTTTACTGTTTTTTTAAGAGTGACAGAACGTAACGCGCTAGGATGATGTCGACGCCAAAACAACCAAAACAAAGGAGAGACTCACCTCTTACATCAGGAAGAATCCGCGCGTTTCGAGCGTTTTCGGTTCTTTCATAATCCGTTGTTGAATTGTGATCGGCAGACGCTTTTCCGGTTCACGCCTCACTTTTTTTACAGCAGCGGCCCAAAACGATCTCCTAACACATGGATGTTCTGCTTCCTGATCACGTGACGTGTGACGTATGTGGATGTAGATCGGCTTTAGAGCTGAGATGTTTGTTTTCATTGTGCGGGGGCTCGTCCGACGCCCACACAGTAAAAACATGCAAATGACGGCTTTAGTCGTTATTGGGAGTGAATACCCATATAACCCACATTCCCTCCCTTTCCCTCACCTAAAATAATTATGACAGTTTCACCCCAATCCACAAACCATTCCCAGGCACGCACGCACACGCACACGCACACACACACGCACACACACACACACACACACACACACACACACACACGCGCACACACACACACACACACACACACACACACACACACACACACACACACACACACACACACACACACACACACACACACACACACACTACAGTGAGTACTCATCACTCAACCCCCAGTTGCTGCAAGGACTGCACTGATTCTGCAAACCTGCGCCATGCACCGTGCGTTTGCTCGACCGGGCTGACGGCGTGACCCCACCGAGGCCTCCGGCTGACAGTCAGCAACAAAACTCGTAAGCAACAAAAGAAGAAGAAGAGGAAGCTTGAAATGGAGTAGTTTCTGTCTCGTGTGCCAGATCTGTTTCCGTGGGTTGTTGGCAAAGTGGAGCAGAGCTGAGTGAGAATTCAGCACCGTAGGGTTACGTGTGAACAGGTTAGCCGTGGGAGTTTGTAAATATGTGTGGGTGAAGATTTCAACCTCCAAGCCAAACCTATTTTTAGAGCCACGTCAGCTTTAACTGATAAAGAAGGTAGAAAAAAAGAGTGTGTAGTGGCACGATCTGCACCCAGTTCTACCATAACAACCAAACAACCCGCAACCCGACTTCACACCTAGAGGCACGGAGCCGGAACGACATGGATGCATCGCTAAGAGCTTTAAAAAAAAGGTCTGGCTAATGACGAGAGCAGAATTCCAGGTATTTATTGTGTAAAAGATTCCAAACGTTCCCTTTCTCAGCCACCAATTTTCACTTTTCACCCACCCCCGCCCTTCATGCCTTCTTCTCTGTACAGTAGCAAACACAGCAAGCCACTTCAAGAAGTGTGACAGAAGCTGTCATCACAGAAAACAACAAAGTGAGAGAACAAACTGCCTCCGTTCAACCTCTCCGACGCCCCCGAGTGTCAAAGATGATCTCGTTCTGTCGTTTTCTCAATCCTTCACAGGAAGCTGAGGTTGAAAAGAGGTTGAAGCTGTCAAAATATATGTAAAGACATAGGGGAGGGTGGTAAAAAAGGCAAACAAATTAGTAAATCGATAAATAAATACCAATAATTCAATAGATCAGTAAATGGCTCCATAAGGAAACGATTAAGAAAAAAATCATAGATTAAATACATAAATAAGCAAACTGTTATATAAAACAAACAAATGAAGAGCGGGGGTGGGTGAAAAGTTAAATAAAACAAATATTATGTAAAATTTGAATCTTGAAATTGTAGTTTTACTAAAGTATTTCACTATTTTTAGAACTCCGTAGAAATGAGATCAGTTTGCTTCACAAAAGACGAAAAAACAAGGAATTTGTACCGTACCGTGTTTATTTATAAAGCGCATTTCAAAACAGCGTGACAGCTGACCAAAGTGCTGCACAGTAAAAAGGACAAACCCCAAGATAAAAACAGATAAAAGTCATACAGGAGGTCAAATCTAAAAAGTTGTAAAAGAAACGTACAACAATAAAATACAGAGTCACAATAAAACGTAAAAACACTAAAAACTAGATTATTGAATAAAAGCTAAATGATAGAAGAAGGCCTTCAGTACCGACTTCAATCGGCCCAGTTCTGGTGCCTGTCAAACACCAAGGGGGAGAGCGTTCCAGAGTTTAGGAGCAGCGAACCCAAAGGTCCGCTCTCCACCAGATTTATACCTCATTTTCGGGACGCACAAAAGCAAATGATGTGCAGATCTCAGGTTTCTGGTTGGAGCATAAGGCTTTATCAGTTCTGAAAGATAAGCCGGGGCTTGACCATTCAGAATGTTATAGACAAAGGTCAAAACCTTAAACTGGATGCGATATTTAACAGGCGGCCAGCGCAAGCGTGCAAGGACGGGTGAAATGTGACAGCGTCTCGAGGTGTTTGTCAGGAACCTAGCCGCCGCATTTTGCT